TATATATATATATATATATATATATATATATATATATATATATATATATATATATATATATATCTGTGATGTGACATTTGAATGGGTTATTTGTAAAGGGTGTAGATACAATAATCTCCACGAGTTACAAAAAACTTCAACTTATTCATTGTCAGGAATTTCTGATTTTATTCAATGTATGAAAATAATTGAATGACATTTCCATAAATCTGAGAACAAAGAGTTTTTCTTTAAATTTCTTAGTGTCTACTCATTTCTTGAAGATTCATTCTATTTCTAATGAAGAAAGCTTTTGAGCATAATTGGACAAATTACAAATTCTTTATTGATTCCTTGTTGCGCAATTTCTTTTTTCTTTGGTTCCTTCTGCTGGACAAGTTCTAGTTGGCCATTTCTATAATAATTAGTAATGTATCAGATACATATGTACCAATTTCTTCTGGTTTCTAATAAGCACCTCTTATTTCTATTTTTGTAAGCTAAGTGGGAATCTTTTAATTGGATAAAAGATTCCAAAGAGTTATTAGTTTCATTTCCCAATAATTATTCCAGTCTTTAAAATTTTAGGACAAAAAAAAATTTGTATTTTTCTCTCTGTTCCACTAGTTTCCTACTCTAATGCAACATATTTTTTCACTATTTCTACCCACCCATAACTACTGATCCTTCAGCTTTATTGCTAGATGACTCTATTGCAATATTTCTCGTCCTTAATCACACGTTACTGCCACTTCAGCAGAATTTTTACTTCTTATGGTATCCTACGTCAAGTTTAAAAGTAAAGTTGAAGAATATAATGGCCTGGTATCTCTGTTTAAACTTTAGCCAATATGCTGCATTCTAACGACGCTAAATAAAGTTACGTTTTGAAAGAATATATCAGTCCGAAAATCAGATGCATCTCTGTTTATGGCATATGGGTGGTTACGGTATCGTGTAACGGTCAGTTATCGATATCAGTCAATTTTCATTTTTGCATTAGGCAGTTGATAAAAAAATCAATACAAGGATGCTATTTGGAATGCATCCAGACAGTTTTTGTGCTTCCCGGAGACATTTTTTATTTGTCTGGAGATAGTGTGTTCATTAGAATAAGCAAACCATTCATTTAATGCTTGTCTTTTGTTGCTGCGATTCTTTTGAATTTCTTCTCCTCAACAAAGTAACTTACAAAACAGTCCAGGTATTTAAATTCAACAAGAGAAGAGAATGATAGAATCGAATGGAAACAGCTTAGCAGAATGAAATTAGATTTATGGGAAGCAATGAATCTTACCACTCTTCCACCATATTTGGCGATAACGAACATGGAAAGCAGAAAAAAACAGTATAATTAAATCATCAAAATCAGGAAAATAACATGAATACCAATCCTAATCAATTAAGCAATTAGTTAATATAATTCGAGAAGTATGTGTCATTTATTAGCAAGCTAATAGGAGACATAAAATGAAAGTTGATAGTCAACCAAACTATCAACTTCACCAAGTGTCTCTGATTTTGAACCCTCAATATCCTCTTACTTCAATCGATGTTTCCAAACGCATGCTGCACTCAATCGTTCTTATCAAGGGTCGGATTCAATACTTAAATTTTTGTTTTCAATATTTTATCACTGCTTTCTATTTTATTTCCAGCATTTCGGGAATTCATACAGATTTTTCATCAAGTGCTCTGAATGATGATAAGACTCTTCCAAAATTCGTTTCGGATGGAATAATTAATTCTGAAAAATGTAAGACAGAAATCATTTTGTTGCCATAATTCCATTATAACTAAGTCCATAAAAAGCAACCAAAACTTATTTATAATTTTTAGAAGGTCTCATTATGTTAATTAACTCACTTATAACTTTATCAAGCGTATATTAGTTGCGAATTTGCGCTCGCTGTCCTGGCATAGTGAGATCAGACAAATATCTGGTCTAGTAAGTGGCGCTGTATTTCCTGCTTACCAAACATTACTTTATTCATGATGACACAAACAGCATTACTATCATTTAAAGTAACCTTTGGGAAAAAGTGGTTCACCGTGCAAAGTTTTTTTCTCAAGCAACAACATCTACTGGTTCCGGTGCATGGGGTGGTAATGGTCGCACCCTAAAATGTGAATGTCCGAAAAAAATTTCAATTCTAATGGTAGGAAATGAAATAGGAAGCAGAATAAGACTCTTAAAGTATCTCTAAGGTAGTGGAAATGCATTACTGGCATTACCGGTTACTGAATACAAAGAACTGGTCTGGGACCGTCCAGTCTGGAACTTGTTCCTTCTTTAGCTCCAATGAAAAGTTTTCCAACGAAAGGTATATTATTGCATAAAATATCTGCAAGCCAATAAGGTGCTGGGATGGGACATTTTATGCTTAAATTTAAATAGGGAAGAACCCAAGAAAAGAATCAATTATTTAATTAGTTATCCACTTTTATTTTTATCAACTTTTCGTAAATTATATTTAAGTTAACAAACAACAGAATACTAAAGTACCAAAGGATTATGCACGGAAGACACCTAATCCAAGTCCATAGTCAGATACATTATCTTGCGTCGATCATATGCTACATTGCAGATACCCTGAAAAAGTTGAGTAGAAGAAACCACATCGAAAATAGTTTTCAATCCATCCTAAATAATGGCACTAGCTCTATAAGTAGTTATGAAAAGGAAATCAATCAGTTCTTATCCGCTTGCTCATTGGCTACTCAATGATAACATCTCATTAAAGACTGCGAAAAGGTGGAAAAGGAGGAGTAAACCGTTAAATTTCGATAAATTTGGAACGAAATTCAAATAAAAATGGAAATTTCCAAATAAAGACCAGAAAGGATATGTAAATTAATATAAAAAGAAGTAAACAAGTACAATTCCTGCAAATTTCACATAAGAAAAAGTTAAAATATAGCAAAGTAAAAAGAAATTCAGACATTGCAAGGAAGGGCATACATTTCAATATAAATCATTATCAATGAATAAATGGTGAAATCTGAAACCTCCACAGTTCAATTTTAGGTCAGATTCAGATCGATTCTGCAATTCTAATCTTTTATCCGTTCATTCAAATTGGTTATCAAAAAATTGGCAAGTGCAGAGAGTGATACCAGATATTGTGATAATTGAATCACAAAACTGTCTTCCTATAATTCAAGCCATTTTCATTCATGTCTCTGCAAGTTTTCAGAAATAAAATATATGTTATGCCATTGTACTTTTTCCACTTAGTCCTAAGAAACACTTTTTAGTCGTTCAGTCTTTATATAATCTGTCCATAGCAAATGATTTCTAAATTTTATTTTGAGATTTGAAGGGCCAACTTCTTCCATCGATTTTCAAATTATGAGCTTTGCTGCGGACAGATAAAGCTGTCAATTTCTTACTATACACATCAGAATCTTTTGCTTTGCTCCTTATCCACCCAAAATTTAAAAGAAAATAAGCGAATATTTAGCAAGAATATGTTGCGTTGTTTATTAAAGTCCCAATAAAATGGAATCTCAAGATGATATAAATCGGTAATGAAAGAAGATAGGTCATTGATTTCCAGCTGATTTCATTTTCTATTTGACAGCAAGTGCTATTTCGTTAACAACATTTTACTCAGACAAAACTGAGTTTATGAAATTTGTTTGCGGCAATAACATAGTTGCGGCTGCGGTAAGCAGAAGTTGATCGGTGTTTGGAAACTAACACAAGTGTAAAATGAGAAAGAACCTCAATTATGCATAATGGCAATAATGAGGTAACAACATCATCATCACCATCAAAAACAGGAATGATAACGATATGCAAAAGAATTATGTTTGTTTTTTTTTGAATTTTGAAAAACTGAAATACTTGCACTGCCTTCATAGATCACCCTTCAACTGGAGAGCTCCGTTTTCTCTCACTTTCTCTGAATCCATGTCAGTGTAATACTATTCAACCAAGTTTGAATAGACAATGATTTTTTGAAATTTCAGAAAAACCTTGTTTGAAATTATACTTTAAACTCTATATCGATATCATGTTTCCGTGCAATTTCATTAAGGATCTCATTCACCGATCGTTTCTTAGTTTCGGGACAGTAAAGTATGATAAGGATAAGAAATACAATGGATGGAAAAATAAAAATTAGGAATGAATATCCACAGGTGGTTGTTGCGAGTGGATAGAATCCAAAATCTAATACTATTTTAGTAAATGATTCGATTAATGATAGAATAGTGACCGTTCGAAGTATCATGCTTTTTGGTACCAATTCAGCTGAATAAAACCTCGATATTGATCCAATACCAAGTGATGTTACAAACAAAATTATCGATACACCTGTCAGTGTTCCAAACTGAAAGTGCAATCATATTATGAATGGTTTCAATAGAAACTCTTCTGATTATAAATGCAATGTAATAAAATTTTGAAATTAATGAATGGATCTCCTTCCCAAGGCCATCATAAAATACTTCGCTTTTCTACAAATGTAAATTGCGCTGTACGAAATATTTACATCCACTGAAAATGGTACCTTTGCTGCTTTACCAACTACAACAGAAACTATTGTCATTGAGAGAGCTAATATGCTGACGAATTCAGATATGATCAACATTGGTCGTCGTCCAACACGCTCAATGATAAATATTGGTATCAATGATAGAGGTAGTCTAATAACTGTATTGGCCAGTGAACCCCACTGCAAGCATTTCGTTTAGATACAATTATTAAACAAAGGTTTTTAAATTAAGCAAAAAACGCTACCAAACCGATAATCTGTAATTTGTGAACCGTCTTTTCCGTTAAAACTATTTTCTCGTTCTCGAAGAGCTAAAATCATCCATGCAATTTTATCTTCTAATCGGAAAGGCCTATCTTGCAGTTACACATCCAGTGTATAGTAGAAGTAAAGACCAAAGTAGAATATACCTCAGCAAGCTCCAGGCTCTGGAAAATATACAATCCGAAGCAGTGAAAACAAAGGTGTCGGTTAATCTAACTCTTCACATCAGCTCTACGTTGGAAACGTAACTATACCGAATATCGCTGTGGTTTATTTATTGTTATAGTTAATAACTCTATCAGTAATCCACTCCTTTTCTAATAGAATTAAATCATTATGAAAATGAGCAATGAAATATTTCAAGACCTGAGAGAATGTTTTTTGCCATCTGCCCAAATCATAGTAAATAAATGTATTAAATGACCGGATAACTCGAGCTCCCGTAAATACATAAGCAATCTGAAACAAATCACAAGTTATCAGTGGAATGATTCCAAATTTGGAGAGTTCACGGAAGTTTCAAGCTTAAAAGTTTGTGCCTTTATTTGAAAAATCCAAAAAAGTATTTGATAATAAAATCTGAAAGTGAGTAGATGAACTTCACTGCGATTGAAATTGCTAAGCTACCTTGACCATAATCCCGATCCAAGCTCCTAATCGTATAATTGCTGAAAGTGGATCATTCGCCTTCCATGGCATAAACATAATTTCCAAACCATTCGGCTGCATTGTTTTACCCATACCTTTTTCCTGCTTTTCCTTCCTTTGACCGTCCTCCTCATATTTTATTATTTCTTCATCGATCTCTATATCCTTTTTGAGGCCGTGATAGGCACGAATTGCAACTGCAGCCTGCGATGGTTCTGTTTTAAAAGTGATTTGTTTTAATTTAAATTTAGTCGTAAATTCAAAAATTAATTGCAAAATTTTAGAATTTAAATAAAAAATCTGTTTGCTTTCTGTAAAATAAAGCCAAGCAGAAAAAAATGGAATGTACTCAAAGATCAATTAGGCATAACTGATACCTTTCATTCCACTTGGCATTTTACTTTTCAAAATAATTAGAGAAATTCATCGACGACAATTGCAGGAAATCAACACGAAATCCAGTGTCGTCTTTGTTTATAGAGCTTAAATTAAGTATTAAATTGTTGAACTAAAAATAATACATACTTCTTGTCGATTATGACGGAACATCAGCGCGTACTGGGGTGATTCATGCATTCGGATAAATACCACTAGGGAGACAACAGTAACAGTAAGAGGTACCGTGAACATAAACGGCCACAAATCCGATGTTGATAGGAGTACTCCAAATAACTGCGTTAATAAGTTACCTGTAGAGTTTACAGTATTTCAATATGAAATGAGAAATTTACAAGTATTGAATTACTTATTTAGTATTGAAATATTTAAACAGTCTTTTGAAACTGTGAAAAAAGAAATTTAACTGAAAAATTTGAAAATTGAAAGTATTCGGGCATTTTCGGCGTCATTATTAAACTGCCAACATGTTTTTAAGAGTTAACCAGAATTGTTTCATTTATCATAGGCTTATTTTCATTACTTGAAGAGTACTGAAGTCAGTTTTACATTTGATGAATTGAGAAAGTAAGTAGAAAAAGGAGAAAAAAGTTGCTGAAAATTCGCCAACAGTTTCAGAACTCAAAACAAGCGAGACATCTCTGTATTTTTTGCCAGTAATAACATTGAAATCAAATGAGCTGACCGACTGTAGCGATTACTTCCTGCCAGGAATTGACAAATCCCCGTTGCGTAGTTGACGCACTTTCTACAACCCAAACGGTTTGCACAACGATTGCAATTCCATTCGCTGTACCCCAAAAAAAACGACCAATTACCAGTGTTTCATAGTAGGGGAAAGATAACCGCGTCAACATCGAAAGTAGTAATGCTGAAAAAGGGTATGTATTCATTGTCGGATAATTTGTCGAGCAAATTTGGCCTATACATTAAGAAGATAACTTAGCGAAGTGAAGCAATCTTGACAGTGTTTAGTGATGACACAAAATGACATAGTATTAAACCTATATAAAAACCTTATCATTGCTTGTTATCTGAGATACACTTACTGATTGTAAAGTAAAACGCTGATCCATTATGATACCTACCAGGAATAGCAATGAGACAGGAAGTGATAGCAGTCCAACGACGGCCGATTCGATCACAAATCAGATAAGCAATCATTTGACCAACAATACCAGAAATGGGATTCATTGCATTGATTAACGACCAAAGAAAATCCAAAGCCAATGGATCAATCGATTTTCCAGATCGTGCTATTGTTGACTCATTGATGAACTTAAACTTATGACTGGTCAACTAACTTTTCGCAAAAAAAATTTCCCGATTTTCTTTCCAACAACTTTTTTGAATTTTGGAAAAATCTGAAAATTTGACAGGCAAGCAAAATGCAGCTACCTGCTGTATTTCTAGATATGGCTGATTCAGTATGGACAGTAAATATGCTTGTTGAAAATTTCCATTAAAACACGCAGCTATCGATAAGGATAATAAATACGGTGATAGGCCCATGTTAAATCCACTTTCTACTGCTCAAAAAACTTGTCAAACTTCTCGAATTCTTCAAAAGAGAAAGCTCGTAAACGATCTGAAATGGAAGAAATATTCGGTATAAAAAGTTCCGTAATTTGACGCTACCAACGGCCCTGCATCACATAAACTTTTCGTCTCAGCAAACTTATCTTAACCTTTAAAGTTATCTTGGACAGTTGGAATACACGACCATGGTGTTAAATTAACATCGAAATATGCGACATAGATGGAAACGAAATCACATTTGGTCAAATGAGGGAGAAATATCGAATTCGTGATCAAACTACAGCTTTTAACCAATAATTATCATTACACTATTTGAAAAAATTCAGAACAAAAAGGCAATAAATTAGCGTCAATTATCGGTAGTTGCTTTGTTATTTATTTATCCGTTCGTAAATTAAATTTGATAACACCCGCTTAAAACAGCCAATTTTCATTTAATTAAAGAATTGATTTAACATGATTTACTAACTTTCATTAGCAATGAGTTAATCAAATGTTGCAGAGAACCCTGTCAATTGTGGTTATTCCGTTGGATTTTGCAAATATAACCTCACAATAAAAATTTAACTGAAATAATCTTGAGAAAGAATGTATAATAATAATTTCACCCTTTAATTGACACAAGTATTACATCCCTTCTCAAATGCAATCATAGAGTGTTAAAATATCGTGATAAATGAGATAAAGTTACTGAAGCCTTCCAAATAAAAATTCATTAACGTTTCATCATTCGATGAAAACTGAGCAAAGCTTTGGAGCGAAGAAGCATATACAGTACGAAAATGCAGAAAAGTAATAATTTATACTGAAAATAGTATGTCTTTTACAATTACGCAATCATTTCATGTTTCTGCACATTATTTTTAGTTTATTTTTACAATAATAGAGAAAAAAGGAGGAAAAGAACTCTAATGTAAATATCGAAACTGAGAACAAGTCGTCAAAATTCTGCTTCCTGTTAATGAGTCCTTTCTGTTTGAATATGAGGACTGATAAGGAAAAGTAGTCATCGTTTTTATCAGTAATGCAGCTTCTCTAACACCACTGATGCTTTTGCAGCGATGAACTCGTCACTTTGGAAACTAATGTTGGAGGAAGTGTTAAGAGTAGGTATAATGATAATAGAAAATCGAGCAACATGATTTAATGCTTTCAGCAAGAATTTCTTTACCAAAATGGTTACGAGAAAATTTTAAACTTATAGTTAAAATTCCGGAACTGGAAGAAAAAAATGATGTTTTTGCAGTGGTGATGAACTCGTCATTTTGGAAGTGCTTTCAAAATTAAATTAATTGAGTTCGGTTCTTTAAGATGTTTTCAGAAATTTTCTCAAGTTTTGAATAACTGAAAATAGATTTCATTTTAGTTGGTAATAATGAAGTCTCTGGGCTCACTATCAGATGTGCAGTAGAATAATGGAACAGTCCTAGAAGAAACCCTAAAATGTTGAGTCATCACACGATAGAAATTTGTAGGATCTATATTGTAAAAAAACTAGCTGTCGATCAAGGGAATCTAAAAATACAAATAATGTGGAGTCACAGATGCAGAATGAATTCAAGACCTGTCGGATTACCGGAATTAAAGTTACACTCTAATAAAATCTCTACGATATCTACCAGATAGGATGGTGAAATCCTGTAAGTAAAATCAAGACAGTGAGGAAGATATAAGCTAACAATGGTTGGAATATCAAAAAGATATCTCAGTATTTATTCATGGTTATAGAATGTACCATGTGAGGGGCACCACACCTCTTTGATAATCCCGGTAAAGCATACAAAAGCTCCAGCTTCTCCTCTAATCCTATAATATATATATAGAAAAAATCCTACACAGTCAATCTTAACAATCAAGCAGAACACAACGTTTTCTTTGCATATCCACCACTATGGATGGCAGATTACAATATTTCTTTCTTTCGTTAGATACATTCTATACAACATATCCTCAACTCAACGAAGGACAAACTCTTATATCTCCAACCATTACCGCAACCTATCAACAAACTGACAGTCAAAGGCAACGACAAGGAATTTGTTAGCTGATTGTTTATTTATAACTCATTTATTATTTTGTCTTATCAATTTGCATCTGGCAGGTATTATAATAATTAAATATATCTATCTATCTAATCTATCTATCTATCTATCTATTTATCTATCTATCTATCTAATCTGTCTATCTATCTATTTATCTATCTATCTAATCTATCTATCTGTCTATCTATCTATTTATCTAATCTACCTATCTATCTATTTATCTATCTATCTATCTAATCTATCTATCTATTTATCTATTTATCTATCTATCTAATCTATCTATCTATTTATTTATCTATCTAATCTACTCTAAAATCTAATCTTTACGCATATTTCATATACTAAGAAGAGTGAGGTAAAAACATCACAGCGGTGTCACTCACCTCTGAACGGAATATTCAAAAAAAAACATTTGATGGAAAATTGAGTTTTCCAAACAAAAATTGAGTTTTTCCAGAAAAAAAATTACTTGGATGGCTTAAGTCAATTATATTCATTGACGAAAGTAATTGCTTTTTTACCGAAAGTTCTACTTACAGCGAAGTTTACTTATCAAACAAACACCGGGCATAAATCACGTGAAGTATGCGGAAGGTTTCGGGGACTTAAATCACAGTCTTCTTTAATTTTATTTTCACACGGTTAAAATATGGATGTAATACAGGAGACAGCATTAAAAAACTCTACATATTCAGTTAAATTTCGAATCTAACTGAAGAATTTCGGTCTTCGCTCAAGATTTTCGAGATGTTGATGGTTTAAGTTAGCGCCGATGAAAACCAGATTTTCTTTATGGAACCACTGCGTAACAGGCTCAGTCAGCTCTAACCTACTGCTTATATTGTCAAACAGTAGTCACCTGGAACAACACTGAAGTGTTTCACTGAGAACATTGCAGATATCGCTGACATCCCAAAAATATTGTTGATGCTATCATTGTATGTTAATCTCAAGCATCAAAGCCAAATTATAATGTCTCACTATTGGCCACAAATTCTTCGTATGTTTATGAACGTTCTACATTACCTTCCTCAACTTTTTAGAGAAATAAAATACTTTTACAGCTGATGTCGTTCGGTAGATGAATAGCCCTCAAGTCATTATAGTGATGCAATCATAAAATTCCGGAATTCAGTGGCATACGCAAGTTGCTGTGCCGTAAAACAGGACAATGACATTTATTTGAGACTGAGCAAACAAACCACGATAACAATAAAATTCCAAAGAGTGGATCGAAAAAAATTAACGAATACCAACTCAATTTATATAGCATCCCAAGAAGCGTCACAAACTGCCATCCAGCCATGACAGTATACGGCGTTGGGATTTGCAAAAAGCAGTCTGCAACAACATTTCTGTACCCTTTTCGATAACGCTTACAAAGCGTTCAACCTGACCACTGAAATGAGGATAGGGAAAACAAACAGAAAGTACTGGAATTCAGTAGATGTGAATTTTAGTAAACAAAGTAAATCAATATCAGCGAAATGGCTGTTGCCCAAAAAGTTATGGAAAGGCTGCCAGGATATCATTTAAGACTTGAGGAAGTGCTATTTTGGAAATTAGCTGGACAATTATTGATGAAAAGAGCAAATAACGAAAGAATTTTTTAAAAAATACCAGCGCGTATAAATTCGATTAATTCGTATAATTTGATTTCTTATACCACTTGAGTTGTATGCATATTTCTTAGATTCAAAGAAGAGAAAATGAAACGAAAACTTTGCTTATGGATTGCTCTTTAACATCGAGATAGACTAATTTTTATTAGGACAATCAGATGAATAATTCATGGCTTCGTATAATCGCGGAAAAATGACCAATCCAGTGTCACGTTTTGGGCAAAATAGCGCATCCGCTTGCGATGTCGAGACCGACTTCGTTTCTGATTTTGTTAAGCAGAAGACGAATCTTGGATATGAAGACCACATATACACATGAAGCATTTGAAGTGGTCCTCGGCGAGTAATGGCAGTTTTAAGCTCCGGGATTTACAATTTATCTTTATGGTGAAATCTCTTCAATCATCTCCTCCAAATTTGAGGCTACTGTAACGAAAATTGGAGGGCGCCATGAAACTGTTTGAATGTAACATCCTATGGAAGCATGATAAGGTGTAGTGGGCATATTTTTGGTGTACGGACATCGACAGCTTTTAAAGCAGTACTCTCCTACCTTCATCCAATTCCTTACTGCTGATTTTGAATAGATCGTCAATAATACGATACCAGGCTAAAAATGTTTGGTGTATTCAGGATTGCATAAGAGATAAATGACGGATTTCATGACTGGATGTGATGAAGGCAACTCTCCTCCGGTAATATAGTTTAGTTCGTTGAGATGGTAGGATAATTGTGATACGGGGTGCGATTGATAGTTAGAAGGTTGTTGCTCGACATTTTAAAGTCTTTTTTGAAAATAGACGTAACAACCCATGTGTGGATTCAAACTGATAGGAAATATGACATACAATGTCAGCATTCCTTCTTAATGAATTAACTAACAGGATATCACCAAACTTAACTTTTAAAACGGGTCAAGAACGTCAGCAAACCTTGTCACTTTGGTATGGCGTCAATCACAGTTCGTAACATGCTACGAGAATGCAAATGTCCGTTTCGAGGGAGTTGTACATGTTGGATGGACAATTGTGATACGGGGTGCGGTTGATAGTTAACAGGCTGTTGTTCGAGGTGGAAGAGTGTGCAGATATGGCACACTGTTATTGCAGTTGGGAGTGAAAAAGTTTACGATTGAGAAGTAAACATTCGTTAAATCCTATGTAGGTGTGGACATGAGCTGACATCATCCATTACAGAAGAACCGAAATGATGAACTCCGAATTGTTGGATAAGAATTTCGGAGTATGTTTTCCGGAGGAGTTGGATGGTGCGTTGGATACTCAACAAGGTTCCGCAAATTGCTGTAAATTCAATCGTTGGGGTTCACTGATTGCCGTTGGGAGTATTGATGGTCGTGTTTACATTTTCGATCTCATAACCAAAGGAGTCGTTAAAGTGATTTTTCGTAATATTATCTGAGCAACGGTAACCGTTTTAATTATCTTTTTCCCAAACACTGTATTTTTGTGCCATTCTATATTTGCTATGATTTGTCACTAGCCATTGTTTCATAAGGCCATGAAACCTGAGGAGTATTTCAGAGTTGGGTTTGTCATGGTTATTCTATTACATCACTAAGTTGGTCACGTGATGGCCGTAAATTATTGACAGCAAGTAACGATTGGTCCGTAGCAATCTGGGATGTTCTAGAAGGATCTCGAATTGAACGACAAATTTACGGTTCCCCCGTTCTTTGTGCAACATTCAATCCGCGGTTCGTTATTGCTGCATCATTTTTTCTGTTATCTTCTATGTCTAACAGCTTTAAAAAATGCAATGTTGAAAACCTTGTATTCATTTTTAAATATTTATGTTGAATCATATTGAGTAATAGGAAATCGCATCTGTCTTTTTATCTAGTCTTCCTTGAATGATTTAATTTCCAGCAATGATAAACACATATTGGTTATTTATTTGGGTGCTAATCCAGTGCTCCTAGATTTGGAAGCGAAACTGCAGACAGAAGTAAAATTTTTTTGCATAAATTTTGAGCTAAACATGAGTCATTTCCTAAAAGGGATTGAAGGTAGTTAAGGATACAAGATTTTTATTAAATTTACCAGCCATTGTTTTGTCCCTTGCAGATAAAGGAAACCTTCGTATCTCTGCAATTTTTGGCTGACGTTCAGAATGGAGTCTGTGAGAATGTTGAGCATTAGTCAACGTGCTCGATGATAATATTAAATCAGAAGGATATAATTTTTTTTTTTAATAAACTAGCGAGGACAAGATAGTCTGCTTTGTTTTTAGATAAAGTTTCCTGATGAAATCGATGATCAGCCCGGAGAGGTTACCGTGGGAACATTTGATCGTAGAGGAAAATACATCGTTACCGGTAGTAGTAAAGGACGTATTGCTTTTTACAGTGCCCAAACATTAGAATTGATCACATTTGTGAAACAAAATGCCACACATCAGGTTATTTATCATTTTTTTTTCTTTTTGATGAGAAAAATAGGACTTGGATGAATGCAGAAAGGTTGGATGTTCAAATTCATTCAAGCTTTCAGCAGATCTCTGACGGACTAGTGGAGATAAAAGAAAGTTTTTTTATAAGCCTGTAGTTGCTGTTATTATCGAAAAGCATTTATTCAAATTTTTGGTGTGTGCAAAATTTTAATTGTGCTGTTTTCAGATTAAAAATGTATTGCTAACACGTCGAGGTGATTTCTTATTAACAAATTCTCAGGATCGTATCATTAGGACTTACAAGCTGGATGTTTTACTGAAAAAACATCATGGAGCTATTGTTGAGCCACTGCAGAAGCTTTTAGATATAATCAATAAAGTTTGTTTCTGCTTTATATTGTTGCCTGGGGTTATAAGTACTAACTGACATAAATCTTATTCCGTTTCACTACCTTAAATTATATTGTTACTGTTCTAGCAAGTTCCTCAGAATTTGCTTCCTTAATTACTAACTGTAGGAAACAAAGGTAATAGTAATTATGTAAATGCTAAAACACCACTGTTTTCTTGATTCAAATGTTACCAATGTTAAAGAGTTAAAATGTATAGATTTGTTTTAGCGTATTTGGCTTTGAATTAATTTCGTTGTCAAGTTAGAATCTAGTATGTGTCAAGTTTTTGTGCTATTGAATGACATGGAGTTCGCGAGTGGGGTTTGGAATTCTGGAATTCTTATTTTAAAACTCCAACTATAAGTATTTTCATGCTTCATGGAAAGCAATATGTGTGTCAAACGATGGTGATTACATCTGTGGCGCTAGTACTAAAGCGCATTCGTTGTATATTTGGGAAAGGAATTCTGGAAGTTTAATCAAAATGTTGCATGGCACAAAGGTGATACAAGTTGAACATTACATTGCTTAAATTCATAAAAACTTGAAATGACTTCTCTCGGTCAAATTTGCTAATTCATTCAGCAATGAATAAGTGATTGAGTATCTATTGAAAAATGCATATAGTAATCAAAATTTCATTTTTCTATAATTTCAGGGTGAGACTTTACATGATGTGCAATGGCATCCTACGCGCCCCATCATACTTTCAATTGCTAATGGTCTTGTTTCCGTTTGGACTCAGGTTAGTTTCTTTTCCTTTCTATTTAATTTTTTGCTGTCCACTGAGTTTTTAGAAGAAAAATATCAAAATTTTTAGGCTCATGTTGAAAATTGGAGCGCTTTTGCACCTGAATTCACTGAACTGGAAGAAAATGTGAAATATATCGAAAAAGAGTCGGAATTCGATTTGGAGGATGAAGATGCAGATGAACCAACTCCACAAACTTCCAAAGTCTTTGCAAAATTTGAATTGAATTAGATGGAAAATAAGTTATTAAGGGTTGCGGATCATATTGACTAAATTTTGGGTTTTATTCTTGTCATATTCTTTTCGTGCGTGTAATAATTTAATAGTATTATTAAATGTAATAATATTACAGTGTTAAAGTTAACAATTTAAAGTGAATGTCTTAATTAGGTAGAGGACGACGAAATTGTTGACGTTGTAACCCTCAAACCAAACGCTGTGTACTGTAGTTCGGATGAAGATGATGATGGTAGCATGTACGTCACTGATTTAACTGCTAAACGTGGCCCACTTTGGTTTCTACCAATTGCACCCGAAATCGAAAATCCAGAAGAAAATCCAGCGTTATTATTGACAGGTATTTACTTTAATTACTTCACATGTTAGGAATTTGTTTGGATTAGATTTAACGTCTTAATTTTATCAATTCATTTTTCTCAACTCTCACGTTACTTTATTTAGAAACAGAAGAAGTGACGAATACGCTTGACGCAGAATCTTACTCAGGTTCTGTTCACTATATTTTCCTTTTCTTGGGTTAATTGCTTATTGTTTTTCATTTGTTCAAATTTCCTCTTTTTGTTTATATATATATGCACACACATATATATACGTATATATATATATATATATATATATATATATATATATATATATATATATATATATATATATATATATATATATATATATATATA